ACAGGGGATCCAGAGGGAAGCCAGGCCCTTTATCACCCGGCACATTTCAGACACTCCCCGAGGGAGATAAGAGGGGCACAAACATCTTTATTCACACCACACCCGAGGTCCAGCCCTATCTGATGGGCACAGCAAGCACAGCCATCCCCTCCAGACACACACTGACCCCAAGGCATCGACCACACAGGCATGATCCAACAGCATTTTCCAGCTTGGATCACTTTTTCCCGGGTCTTCTCCTGGACACCACGGGCACAGCCTCAGCTGGAGGAAGCAGAAAGCAAGGAAAGCCTTGCCAGAGGGGGATCCACCCCGGGCTGGATGCCCTGAAGGTTTCATCACCTCTCCCCATCCCAGCCTCACCTCCCTTGGCTCTGCCCTGGGGCTGCTCTTCCATCCCCTTGGGAAACTCCCTCCTCTTACCTAATGGATTAACCCCCAGGGCAGCATTTTTGGAGGGGAGTGTGGCAGATCTCCCAGGCTCTCACCTACCCAAACTGAGTGATTTGAGAGCCACAGCTCAGCACTCACATCCTCCTTAGCCCAGCAGCCAAAACAAGGCACCTTGTCCTCTCCTCCTCTCACTTGCAATGAAAAAAAGGCTTTAAAACCCAACCCCATAACTTCTAATCACCATTTTCAATTCCTCCCTCCAATCCCCCTTCCCTTTCCAGCCCTTCCAGCAATTAAGCTCCTTCAGCCAGAGCTTTACAACAGGTTTTCAAGAAGCAAACCAAAAGTAAACTGAGCTTTTACATGCACGTTATTTGAAAGGCAAAGTGATTTCCCAGTGGAAGCAGCACCATTTCCCAGCCAGCTCGATGCAGCTCCCACCAGCACACGCTTAAGGGGCAGATTTTGGGAGCAGGGCAGGAGTGATGTGCAGGTCTGAGCCAGGGGATGTGTTTAGACGTGGTGGGAACAGGTGGAGATGGAGCCTGGGACTAATCCCACAGCCCAAAGGCTCGTCCCTTCCTACACAGCCCCTGGTCCTGCTCTGGGATGAGCTGCAGCCCAGCTCAGCCCCCCAGCTCAGCCCCCCAGATCTTACCTCAGCAGAGCACCAGGCACAGAGGGGGCTGACAGCCAGGCACTGCTTGCAGGAGTTCACCCCACGGGTGGTGCAGATGTTGCCCCCTGGAACAGCAAAACAGAGCAGTCACAGCCTGCAGAGCCCCAACTCCCCCCTGTGCTCAGGACTCAGTGCTCAGCCACCGGCCCCCTGAGCAGCCACAGCCCCCACCAGGGCCCTGCTCTGCCCCCTTTCCCAGCCCCAAACCCTGGGTGTTGCCTCCTCGCCCCTTTCATACCCTGGCACCGGCTGGGCTTCATCCTGCCCAGGGCTGAGCACCATTCCTGCCGTGCCAGCTCCTTAAAGTGTCCCCTCCTCCCTGCAGCATCACCCAGGTGTTGGAGTGAAGCTCCCACAGCTGGTATTTGTGCCCCCCTGCAGCCCCCTTGGAGCAGCAGGAGAGGGAAGGGGTGAATTCCCAGGGGTGCAGAGTGGTACCCACAGCCCTGCCAGGGATCAGCTGCCTCTTCCACTGCCCCGAGCCAGGGTGGTCAGTGGGTCACCCAGGGCAGGGTGGTCAGTGGGTCACTCAGGGCAGGGTGGTCAGTGGGTCACCCAGGGCAGGGTGGTCAGAGGGTCACCCAGGGCAGGGTGGTCAGTGGCTCACTCAGGGCAGGGTGGTCAGTGGGTCACCCAGGGCAGGGTGGTCAGTGGGTCACCCAGGGTAGGGTGGTCAGTGGGTCACTCAGGGCAGGGTGGTCGGTGCCACCTTGTGCAGACACTGAACACAGTGACTGGCCTTGGCTCGGGTTCAAATCCAGGGAAAGGAGGGGAGGGAAGGGGCAGGAGTCCAGCAATGTGCTGGGGGGGGTTTGCACCGGTGTCCCAGGCAAAGGCTGGCTCTGGCAGTGACAGTGGCCGTGGGGACTCTGGGAGACACAGGCTGGCACTAGTCCTGGAGGTCAGAGGCCAGAGAGTCTGTGTGGGGGGACTGAAGTGCCCCAAAGTGCCCGCAGTGCCCGCAGGGCTCAGGGTCAGGAGGTGGCACAGCCCGGACTGGGCGGCTCCGGCAGTGACAAGGGCTGGGGACACGAGTGTCACCCCCGGCTCATCCTCCCTCCTGGGCACAAGCACCTCGGCAGTTCTAGGGCTCCCTGGGCAGAGCAAACCACAGCCATGTGCCCACTCGGCCGGGGGACACTGCAGCCCCGGGACCCGGGGGATGCTGGCAGGGCTCTCCCCTTTGCCCCGTGTCCCCGCTGTCCCTGCCCAGCGCTGTCCCGGCAGCGTTTTCCACCACAGGAAACGCAACATAAAACGGAAAGAGGAAACTGTGAAACGATGTGAAACGATGTCGTCAGGTCTCCGGGCAGAACCACAAACAACGGCCGTGAGCTTCTGCCTGGGGGCACCTGGGCTGGGGCATGGGGGTGCTGTCACAGGCTGGGGTTGTCCCAAAGTCCAGCAGCTGCTTGGGGATGTGCCCCAGGACGTGTCTCATAACACCTCTGCCACCAACACCCCCAGCTTGTCCCACGCAGGGCACCGAGCTAAAGGCTGAACCCACCTACCTGGCTCAGCACCAGCTTTGGGGTGGCACCCGTGCCCAGAGCTCTTGCTACCCGGCTCCATGTAGGGGTGGGGCAGATTTTAAACTGCCCAAAAGTGTGACAGGTTGGTTCCTGCACCTCAGCAGTGTGCCAGCAGCAATATCTATCCTGGGGGTGGCTGGGGCAGGGAAGGGGGAAGGCAAAGGACTCTCCAACTGCAGCAGCAACACCAACACCTCCCACTTCTCACATTGGCTCCCTCCCACTTCTCACATTGGCTTCTGCCCCATCCCAGTGAATCCCTCCTGCCCTATCCCAGTGACATCCCTCCTGTCCCATCCCAATGAAATCCCTCCTACCCCATCCCAGTGAATCCCTCCTGTCCCATCCCA